TATGTAAAAGGTAAAAAACAGCAGATCAAATTACGGTAAAATGTAACGGCACTCAAGGTGCCGGTACATTTTACCGTAAAATTAATTTTTGAGGCAGCATGTTACAGAACAAAAAATTCGATAATCCGTAATTTTTGCAGCAATAATTAACGAAAAATCACTGTAATTAAATCAAGATTACTGTAAAAATTACGATATGATTTTTTACGGAAAAATGGATTTTACGGATGTTCCAGATCAAATTATGGAGTACCCGAAGTGCCGGTACTCCATAATTTGATCTGGAAATTTTTTCAGTGTACATTCCTCGATGATTTCCCTCTCGTCTACTATTATACTTTTATATTTACGTTGTCTATTATTGTACTTTACTAAGACAACTAAATTTATTCTACTGGCGAGAAAAACTCAAGAAAGTAATGGTCACATTGACCCATGAGAAATCAGTCTCAAAAGCATCGATTTTACGATATAATATTTTACGGTAAAAAGGGATTTTACGGATGATCTACCCGAAGTACCGGTACTTTGTACCATAATTTGATCCGGAATTTTTTTCCGTGTACATTCCTCGATGATTTTCCTCTCGTCTATTATTGTACTTTGCTAAGACAAAAACTAAATTTATTCTACTGGACAGAAGAATTTAGATAAATTCTAGAAAGCAATGGTCAAAATTTTTTTCAGCGTACTCCTACATTGCTCGATGATTTTCCTCTCGTCTCTCACTGTACTTTGCAAAGACAAAAACTAAATTTATTCTACTGGCGAGAAAAACTCAAGAAAGTAATGGTCACATTGACCCGTGAGAAAGCAATCTCAAAAGTAGCAAATAAAAAGCACATCGACACTATTCATTCTCCTGAAATTGCTTTTATACAGTATCCCCAAAACCATCCTGAAGAGGTGCATCCTCCATTCGAGTTTACATCCTGTATATCCCGATGCAGTGAACATTAATGGACACAATAATCTACGTTAAGCAGTTGATAAGCAGTCACGAAATATCCAGAGATACTCCTCCTAAGTGCTTGGGAATAGCTCATAACATTTGCAGCTACACTTCCCAGTAGCTAATTCCCAATTCTGACACCACATGCATCAAAGCTCACGTTCTTGTGGATGACGACTGGTGCTGAAAACGTGCAATTAGAATTTGCGTGCAAAGGGAAGGACTGAGGAAGGCCCTTGTAGTTCTTGTTCCTTGATTGAACGATCGTAGAATAAGCCGTAATGGATTTCTGAACAACAGTTTTGGTTTAGTGGAGGACAGACTTGCACCACGCGTTTTGATGTCCTCTATTTGGGAGCTGGGGTAGAAAAGGAAAAAAAAACGTTGAGGTTGTTGGGTGTTAAGGTTATGAATTACTTTGTTGTTGCAAATGAAAAATTGGAGCAGGGTTTTGAGTTTTGCTTTTTTTGAAAAATGTTTCGAGAGATTAATTGTTTTTCTTTTAGTAATCATTATTTTGTAATGTGCATTAGAAAGAAAGCATGAAAATGATAGGTGTGATTATAAATGTGTGATAAAAATAAATTTTTACGTAATACATATTATTTGCACAATACTTAGACGCATATAAGTCACTATTATTTACCAAACTCTACTGTTTTTTTCTTCCTTTAGAGTTTTTTTTTGTTTTATTTTTTTAAATTTAAATATGCAAGCATTTTATTTACCAAGGCAAATATAAAAGACGGTAGTTAGTTTGATATTTGATATAAAAAGCTTTGATGTACAAAGAGTTAGATGTTCATATTTTAAGTTCTATTGTGCTCAAGGAGTTAGCCACAGATGTAGCATATTACTAAAAATCAGTGAGAATTATATACATACGATAGACTGCATTTAATAACAATCATTTTTAGACATTTATGCTCACTGTAAAAAATTTCGAATCAAATTGCGGTAAAAAGTACTGGCACCCTGAGTGCCGGTACTTTTTGCAGTAAAATTAATTTTATCGAAAACTTTTACAGCACAAAAATCTTATTTACCATAATTTTTATACAGTAGCATTTAATGTAAAATCACTAAATTATAGTAATTAAATAAATATTACTGCAAAAAATTACTGAAATTAACTTTACGGTAAAAATGGAATTTATGACAAAATGGATTTCACGGATGCTGCATTTAGGGCGCCAGTATTTTTGCCGGAATTTAATCCAGAAATTAATACAGTTAAGGGTTTCAATATCATATAAAAAATTGTTTTTCATGTTTTTTTGATGATCATGCACTCTTCCTTTATTCTCAAATCAATTAATCAATTACAATAGGTTACAAAACTTCAATAGGTTCGTTTAAAAAAATTGTTAATTAAGAAAAAGTGTAGAAAAAATTGTGCATCCTATTTTTAGTTTATGCGAGTCAGTATTTTCATTAGTAAATGAGCATTAGTAAATAATTCAAGAATGCACAAGAGTTATATCTAATAATTAATTTATTTTTAAACTATTTGAATGACAATGTTTTTTGAATGCTTTAAATTGTCATTCTTTAAAAATAGTTACATTTTAAAATATTTATAAAGCAATAAAGAACATTTTTTAAAACTTTCATCTTCAAAAAGCTTCGTTTAAAAAAGTATGAAATTTTATTGTTTCATTAATGTGGCGGGGTATATAATAAATTGTGATTTTGAATATTAATAATTTCAAACGATGTTGTTATTAAAACACGATTTCTAAATTCGAATAAAATATATATAAAACATAACTTGAATTATTTTATTTCGTTTAAATATGTTAGCAAGTGAAAAGAAAATTTTTATAATTTACGTTTTCATAAATGATGGCAACAATTTATTTAAACTGCGATTTTGAAACTATTTGAATAACAATGATTTTTAACGAATTATTGTTAAAAATATATTTCTGAACAATTCATTTGTTAAAAATAATTTTTACTTGATTTTTTAAAAAAATTATCATTGTGTGAATATTTGATATTTTATTACTCGATCAACCCAGTATTTTTAACCAGTAGCACAAAGATTTTAATCAATACAATTTTACGCACTAAGAAAATGTTACGAAATTTAAATATCTTATCAGTTAAATTGATATCTTTAATCTTACAACGCGATCAATTATTAATAGCGGTATTTTAAAGCATTAATGTAAAAATGTTACTTGTACAAATATAGAAGCTTTAAAAACATCTCTATATAATAACATACTGAGATAGGGCTTGACTTACCACAGCTATATTACTGAGGACATTACTGCTTATACTTTTTACTGTCAATACTTGATAAATGAGAAAATGTCTTTTATTTTGATATAAAATAACAGTTAATGTAGATGAAATGTATAAGATTTGTTACTGCATAATTGTTAACAGTTCGTTACGTTTCTTTCCAAGCACTTTATTAAATTAAATTTTTTTCACGCTGACGAATCAGAAACATTCAATGCATATACCATTAATCAACAAGTGTGCTCTATTAAAGCTGTATTTCGAAGGCCCCGTCGTAATATGAAATGATGCTTTTTCGCGAATAATATGCTATTTTTATAATTGCTGTGAGTTTGCAGATGTTATTCATGATTGTTAGGTCAAGTTAAGCCTATCTTAAGCCAGCGCTGTCTGAGCCTTTTCTGGAAAGGCACAATACTTCAATCTGGAGAAAAGCCACCGTTTTGTGATAATGAAAAGCGTTTCTGGTATAATTTTTTTTACTTACTCCAATGCTGCGTTACATGATCTCATAAAAAACTGAAAATAAGGCAGTGTTATGATAATTTTCATCTTGGCGTAAAAATGTCGCCAAATTAGCGATTTTTAAAAACGTTTAATAACTTTTAAAATATTTATGTTATTTGTCTGTTTTAAAGCCCAGATAATTCTTTAGGGTAAGATTATATAAATAGTTTAAAATCGTCGCATCGCTTCAAGTGTAAGGCACTTAAACTATGGCTTTTTTTTGTTTTCCTTGGCGACAGAGCTTCGGAAAATAGCGTTAATTGGATAACATTCAACATGCTTGCAAGCTAATGGCTGGTAAATGTTTAAATGTAAATGTACCTAGTGAATAATGTAAATGCAACTAGCGCTAAATTTCAGAAATTAACAATGTGTTGAAAGAAGTAATTAATAATTAAAGAGTTAGTGATACTAAAACTTTGAAAAGTTAGGGATTTGCTTTTTTATTTAAAACACTACATCTTAATTCTCTTAAAAAATGCATATATATATACATATATTATATATATTAAGNTATATATATATATTTGTATCTGAATTAAAACTAATACTTAGTAAGACTTATTTGTTTTTCTTTCAATTGAACTTGAGAGATGCTGAAGTGTTATTATTTTCTTTTTTCTATAACAAACTTTTTCAAATTTTTTTTAAAAAATTTTCAAACGACTTATTAGAAAAAATGTAGAAAGTTGATTCAATTGAAATATGTGTAATTTAGATACTTTATGTTAATTTGTTTTTCGTGAAATGAAAATTCTACATTCAGTTTTTATGCCTTAAAAAATGGAAAGTGAGAAAAAAAAGCAATTTTAAAATTCGGAATATTAAGTTCTGACAGAGAGAATATTGAAGACAAATTAAGGTTCAAATAAATTTAATAAAAACGAAATTAAAAAAAAACTTGTTAATATTAAAGCAGATCATTTTCAATTACAGCAAAAATTAAAAGCCTCACTTCTTAGTTTTAAAATTTTATTTTTTTTTTAAAAAAATGGTGCTTTTTTTAAAAAAATTGGTTAAGAAACACGTCTTGTTTATTTTTTAAAAACTATAGCTGTTTAAAAAATTTAAAAAAAATTTTTTGTTTATTTTTTAGAGGTTAAAAACGTGTGCTGGGGGGCCTTTAAAAATTACTAAAAACTACGGCGACAAAAATACTTTAAAACGCAATGTGTTTTCCTTATTTTCATTGCGTGTCAAAGTTAGAAAATATTTTCTTCTCATCCTATATAGTATTCCGACAAACTATTTATTTTTATCTAACATGGTAATTCTTCTTTTTTGTAAGGGAGACGGAATGCCGACTTTCGCATCGTATGGAGCTCATCCAATGATGGCCCTGATGCAGAAAGAGGTACCGTAACAATTATATTGTCGTCAAGCATTAACAAAACGCCTGTCCGCTTCTAACAACACCTAACGCATTTCTAACGCTTTTCTCATACATCTTTTGTTACACTGTTTGAAATCTCTACTGTCCTTTATAAATAGTAAATGTTCATAATAAAATACTTTTCATGAATGAGAAGTTTATTAGTAATCACCTACATGGTAGAAGCATTTACCCTGTCTCCGTTTCACTCTCCCCAACTGCCCAATGAGGCCTACAATATTTCAGCTCTGAAACCGCTGAGAATGTTACATTAGAGCTCATTTCGTACCACTTTGACATGGTCAGAGAAAGTGATGGAAACTTAGCCTCTAGCACAGGGATTTGAACCCTGGTCGAAACCGTGATGGGCGAAGATTGCACCCACCGTATCGACTGGGTGGGAATGGGCAGTTTATTTAAGCACAAAATATACAGAAGATACAACGCTTTTTAGTTGTTTATTTGTGAGCCCATCTGGGAAAAGATTAAACTTCATTGAATAAATACAGTTACCACGGCACACGAGTGGTATTTCATTTTCCGGACTCATGTGCCTGATTTAGTTTGTGGCACTTTTTGATTAATTTATGTGTAATGCCGTTTAATTTTCTAGCAGCATAGCTGATTACGGCTTTTAGGATATTAAACTTTACTCTTAAAACCAAAGTTGTTATCAAGGTCTGGAGAATTATTATCGAAGTTGATGATATGTAGACATCGTATAACAGATCTTTGAATCATGTTATACTTTATCATACGAACAATCACCCGGTATATGCTTAAGAACAATCATACGGGACCATGGACTTATCTTGGTATAGTTTGGGGTAATAACATTTATTCGTAAAAACAAATTCTACTAGTTTTATCGAAGTACCATAATTCCACAAATAAATACACGAATGTTTTTATGTATTGGTATATGTATACGAAGAAATAAATTCTGGTAAATTTATTGTATTGTATAATAACAAAATTTCTTGTAACAAAAAAGAAAAAAAAAAGAAAAACGCATTTTTGGTGTATAAAACCAAAATGTGTTTTCTAAACCATTCACTTGGTAATATTTTCATTCATATGGTAATGGCTTACCGAAAATTCTTGTTTTCAAAATAGTTCTTATTACCTCACATTTAGTAAAAAATACAAAACTGAAATGTGAATTTAACCGAATAAATGATTTTTATGCCATATTCTAAGATGTCATGATAAAATTACCAAATTTTACTTTATTTGCAAAATTCTATTACACATTATAAAATCATCTATTATTATTAATTTTACCCAAATCATTACCAGAGCGCTTCGGTAAAAATTACTGAGCTTTTTGGTGTCCCCATAAAGCCAGGAACAAGGCACATTTTACCATATTCTGGTAGTTTTGACTCTACCTTTTTCTCTTTGTGCTTTATACAAATCCGCAATTTTGACCCAATTTGTACTAAATGTTTTATACATATGTTCGAAGACACATCAAATCTAACTGCCTAATTTATAACTCTCTCCAACAGCTGGGTCGTGCGCTATATCCCAAAAAATGATTTTTCCATAGGATTTGATAAATATTTTATATTATTAGCGATTTGCTAGCTTGCAGCTCTAATCTACCAGAAATGAGTTTTATTTCACGTTTTTATGAATTAATTATCTTTTGGTGTCCTATGTTATGTTATTGCCAGTCATTCTACCAATGATAAGTGAAATATTAATAATAATAGTAATAAAGCAGAAACTTGTGATAATACTGTAACTTAATTATCACTTGACTTTTATAAAAGATTTAAAAACCGAGCGTTGGCAATATTTTAATTTTTATAGTCATTTATTTTTTTCATGTTTATTTGTGATGAATTTGGCAACAGTGCACCGTTTTTTATATAAATAATTATTTGTGAACAAATAATAATGTTGGCAACTTAAAAAAAGAACTTATTTTATTTATGGAGAAAAGGTAATATATTTTTAAGGGAAATTAACACTACCCTCTATTGATTGTGGACAAAATGTCTTAGAGGCGAAAAAAAAACAACAACTTGTATTTAAACAATTGGAAACGAAATAGCAGAGCCAAGATTTCTGAGAATAATATATTCTGATCCTCACGTGAGAATGAAATAACACAAGCCTACTTAATCAATTACATAAATGATGCTGGCATAGAATAAAGATAAATAGTTTAAGAAGTTTTTAGCTAAACCACGTTAGCGCAATGACTTCACACAGACTTATTTAATCAAAGATTTAAATCATGGTAATGGTATCAAATGATGATAACCAGTTTAAAAAAGTTTAGTTTAACTACGTAAGCACAATGACTTAGCACAAACATGTCTACTTAATCAATGACTTATCGTAAGAGTATAAAATAAAGGTTAACAGTTTAAGAAAATTTTAACAAGTCTCCTTAAACATAATGACTTAACACAAGCCTTCTATATAAATGACTTAATCATTGCGAAGATACAAAATGAAGATAAACGGTTAAGAACTCAGGGGATTGAGCGTTCGCCTTACAAGGAGGTGAAGCGGATTCGAATTCCAGTCATCGCTGGTCGAAACGAATTCGGAACCCGGTTCGCGCCGACCACAGTGCTGACGTAAAATATCCTCAGTGGTTGGATATGGATATGGATCATGGGTTAGAGTGCCCTTTCCATCAGGCTAAGCATGGGTGGTTTTAGTGGTTTTCCGTTCAATCTAACGCACATGCGAGTTAGCATTACAAATTAGCGCGTGAAGATTAATTTCTTTCATTATTTGATCCACAAATTCCCTTGTCTTCTGGATTTGGTTTAAAATTACAAGATTACGGAGTTGAACATTGGTGATCGGTTATAAAATAAAATGACTTAGCTCAAAGCCGTAATGGCTCAGGAGATCCCGGGTTCGAATCCCAGCTATACGAATTCCAAACACCTCGACCACAGTGTTGGCGAAAAATATCGCCAGTGGTAGGCGGATCATGGATATCCTTTCTAACTTGCTAGGTTTTCGTGGTTTCCCTCTCCATGTAACGCTATTCAAGGGGTAGAGCGTTCACCTTCCAGTGAACCGTGGTTCGATCCCGGCGATGGCTGGTAGATACGAATACCGCATTCGGTTTGCACCGACCACAGTGCTGACGTGAAATATCCTCAGTGGTAGGGGGATCATGAATTAGAGTCCTCTTGCCGTCAGGCTAAGCGTGGGAGGTTCTCGTGGTCTTCCTCTCCATGTAACGCAAATGCGAGTTAGTTCCACCAAAGAGTCCTCCACGAAGGCAAAATTTCTCCCAATACTTGATCCAGGAGTTCCCTTGCCTCCGTTCTAAGGCTACGGAGTTGAACATTAGTAGTCGTAAATCCAAAGATTGGGTCGGCTGTTGAACGACGGTTATGAAATATAAAATAAAATATGGGTTAGTTTCACCAAAAAGTCTTCCACAAAGGTCTCCTTGTCCCAGTCTTTGATCTAGGAGTTTCGTTGTCTTCTAGATTGGGTTCAAAATTAAAAGTCAGCGGAATTGAAATTGACTTAGAATTGTCAACTTAGAATTGTCAACTTAGAAAGTCGGCTGTTCAACGGAGGTTATAAAACAAAATAAAAAGACTTAACTCAATCCTACGTAATTAATGGCTTAAATACATAATGCTACGAAATGAAGATAAACAGTTTAAGAAAATTTTAGTCAAACCACGTAAGCAGTTTCGTTTCAAGCAAACCCGATAAATTACTATCAGTTGCGAAGCGCCCAAAAGGGATCCGACGCATTTTATAAAAATGTCTTTTCTAATATATCTTTCCGCAAGGACAGGAATCACGTGATCTTTTCATTATAAGGAAGATTTATTTATCATATATTTTTCCTCGTCGCAAGTCCGTTCACTGTAGTGTTGGTCTCCAGCAAAGGCGGCATAAAACTAATTCATCATCGTCGTTGGCGATATATTAAGTAACAAATGTTCTCTCTTTGGAGTCTCTCCCTCGAATATCGTGTCGTTCACTTAAAGCAAATTTTCTTCGAAATGGCACGATGACAGTTGTCTTTGATTCAATTAAGGTTCATTCCCGTCTTCAAGATTTTATTTATTTATTTATTTGCCTTTTTTTTATTTGTCTTCATCAACTCGGGATAAAGGGAAAAAAAACGTCTTTTTTTTCTTCTTTTTTTTTTTTTGAAATCTTAGTTCCAGCACGCATTTCAACTTTTGACGCGTAAAAATATTAGTTTGTATCTTCTATCTCGCTTATTTACAAAATATTGCTGATCTGATATTGAATACTTTATTTATTTTTAAGAAAATGCTGTAAGTGCTTTGTTTTTAAAATTATTCTTTCGGCAATGCGCAGTAAAAAATTCCGATTCCAATAATGGGGTAAAGTACTGGAACTTTTGGCTGTATCATCCGTAAAATCATTTTTTATCCTAAATTATCATACCGTAATTTTTACAGTAATATTTATTTCATTAGAGGTATTCAGTTATTTTACTGTAATTATTACTGTAAAAAATACGGTGTATTATTTTTTTGTTGCGTAACATGTTCCGGTAAAGCTGAGTTTTACGGTAAAACATATCGGCACCTACTTTTTATCGTAATTTGATTCAAAGTTTATTACAATATACAGTCAAATCAAGGACATCAATGCAGTGATATATGGCTGTAAGTTCATTGATTATGGACTTCGCTGTGGCACGTGCTAGTTGAACATTCCAATTTTTTTAGCATTTAATTTTTTATTTTTTCTCCAGTATATGAATTTCGGTACTTACAGCTATTTTGAGTGTGATAAAATAATGTTTTTCTACGAAAGGACAAGATGCAGTTATCTTTAATTCAAATGAACCATAGTTTATTTCATATTAATCAAGTTGTGAATACAGTCCTTGTCAAAAGTTTGAGCACACCCTTGGATTTCCCTGACAATTCAGAAGACACCGTATCATTCCAGAATTAGGTTTATTGGTTGCATTTTCAAATTGAACAACCCTGTTAATGAAAAGATACAAAAATACAGGCATTATTTACGTTTATATAGAATTATCGAAGTTGGTATTCATCAAGGAGCTCATCTTTGGCATTTGTTTGATCACTTGAAGTATTCCTTTGATCAATTTGACAGTGTATGTTGATCCTGCAACTTAGAAGAGCCTTCTAAAGTTTTCTTTGTTAATTGACATGTGTTTATGGATAATCCTGATCAGCTCATCCCACATGAATTTGATCAGATCAGGAGACTGTGGTGGCTACTCCGATTGGAACTAAAAAGTTAATATTTAAATTAGTGGGTTCAAAGAAATCTCTGCCATTGTGCTTTGGTATGCTTTTATACTTTTTTTGCACAATCCGCTCTTCTTACCGCAATCCTACCCGCAAACCCGCAATGCTACTCGATATTTAGTGGGAAAACATGAGTGTGCTCCGTCTTTGGACAAACACTGTACATTACCAAGATTAGATGATAAAAGAAGTGGTTTCTTTACCGCAATCCTACCCGCAAACCCGCAATGCTACTCGATATTTAGTGGGAAAACATGAGTGTGCTCTGTCTTTGGACAATCACTCTGTACCTTATCAAAATTCGATGATAGAAGCAATCTGATCTCTAGAAATGTTTTAATGTCCATTATATCTATTAAATGTCTTAAAATACCATCGAAGACATGTTGAAAAACTTAAAGAAATGTTTAAATATCGGAAGTTGAAAACGAGCACGTATGCTTATAGTTTGTGCCATACTAATCAATATTAATGACTTTTTAAAATTAAACCTGAGAAAGGTTTTTTTTCTTTGTTTTTATCGAAATATCTTAAAATATAATGTTTGCTAACTATAAGCATATAGACATGCGATAATCTTCCATGCCATGAGATAATCTTCAAACTCTGCTCACCAGAAACATTTCTTCTTCTCTTTTGTCATTATATTAAAAATATAAGGAATTCTGGGACATGTTGACAAACTATAAGCTCTGGTTTGTGTCATACTAATCAAGATGATATATATATATATCTTCTCAAAATTAGATGCCAGAATTTAATCTTCAGAGTCTGCTCTCTAGAAAAATTCTTATACGTAAAGGTACTAATAACGTATATTACCAGTAGCTTTTAAACTTAATACCTTTGGATTTAAAGGGTTTGAGTTACGCGCGGCGAATCACTCGCATTTGCTCTTAACAAATATTTGAGCTCTAGCCCCTGAACCACCGCTCTCCAAATAAGCTCATCCCCCTCTACCAGCAATTCAAAGCCACCGTCATTGATGATAACGATGTATCAAAGGACCAGACACTTTAATAAATTAGATTTGACCAGCAGTTCGTTTTGAAAAGGGCTACTTCGGGGTGGGCAAAATCCTGAACTTTGACAAGTGAACAGAAAATCCCCTTGCTTGAAATATTTCAATGAAAGGGAGTTAATAAATTTGCAGGTGGAGATTTTACTGAGGAAAAGTCGTTTTAGAAAACTTGATCAACAAGATGTTAGGTTCAGTCTTGCGTTCGTAATGTGATCTTGTAGTTTGTAATTTGTTTCAACTTAGAGAACATGTTGGAGAAGACTTGCAAAGTGGTTGAATGAAAGATCTTAGATTTTTAGGAAGTTAAATTAAAATTATTTTGCTGGCTTATTAATGCACATTTCTATCGTTTTTACCACGCCCTTCTTTAAAATATATCCAATAATAAAAGTTGCTTATGCTTCATAAAACATGCAAAAATATATTAATAAACATATTAATAAATACAACATATGTACACGAATAAAATGAAGAGACATTTTTTTTTAATATTGTTACTTAAAATCCTGCTTTACCTATATTTAATGAGGCATATAAGTACTATCTTGTATAGGATGCTTCTGAAGCTAGATTACCCACACTGTAAGAAATTTAGGATCAAATGTCGCTATAAAGTACCTGCACTTTGAGTGCATCATCCATAAAATACATTTTTACCATAAATTATCTACTATAATACTTACAGAAATATATTTTAATAACATTCCTACCATGATTTTACGGTAATTATTATTGTAAAAATTACGGCATATGAGATTTTTTGTTCCATAACATGTTCCAGTAAAAATAGATTTTACGGTTAAATGTACCGGTACTCTGAGTACCATTAATTTCCCCCCCAATTTTTTACAGCGCACTTACCAATCAGGCAATTCAAAATAAAATACTGGTAATTCCACTGAGTCCGGATCTCACTGGTTACAGTGCTAACGTAAAATATTCTCAGTGGTAAATGGATCATAGCTTAGAGTCGCTTTACCGTCCAGCTAACCATGGTAAGTTAGCACGGTTATCTAAACTCAAATACGGATTATTTTTTTACCAATGCAAGTTATTCCTAAAGCTTGATCTAAATTCTCTCGTCTTCTGGGTTGTGTTCAAAACTGTCAATTATTGAACTGTCAACATTGTTTTTTCTGAATAATCAATAAAGAAGTTTTCCCAATGTTTGCTGGCTTCGACTTCGGAAAAGTTACATCTGCACATGATTCCACGTTGCTGACTTACTAAAATTTTGTATTTTGCCATGTAAAATTATATACTTGATGAAATGACGTAAAAAGTTACATGCCTTACAATTCAAAAATTTTTCGACTATTATTTTATAAAATAATAATAAAAAACTATTATACACTATTAATCAATAATAATTAATGTATAATTTTTTCATGGCAAATTAAAATAGTTGAACGAAATCGGTCGACTAGTTTCAGAGAAATCGAATTTTAAAGGAACTGTATTTCTAAAATTTAGTATTGTATTAAATATGTATAATAATTAAAATATATGCAATTTTATATCATGTTTTATACATTGCAATTTGTTTTACAGCAATGAATAATAATTATGGTTCCATTTTTTCAGGGTCCTCCGCCAGCCGCAGGTCAGCCTTTTAAATTTACTGTTGCCGAAACATGCGATAGAATTAAAGAAGAATTTTCCTATTTACAGGCTCAGTATCATAGGTAAGTATCATAATAATTTATTAATATTTATTCAATTGTTATAGTAATTTAAATTTATTTTTAATATTATTTAATTTAACATGTAAGATTAAAATAACATATTGAAAGAGTCTAGTGGCTAAATTAATGCGAATTATTTCAACCAGTACGCTTTTAGAAGTTTTGGAATTTGTTGAACTTTATTACCGTTCTACTTTGAGTCCAAGCAATGACTGCGGGTTCGAATCCTGCTCAGGGTATAGCTGTTTCTCTCTGTGTGTAGTTCTCTAATGTGTGCTGTGTGAGTGCGGCCCACCCTATAAACGGGTATGTGTGGCGTGGGTGATGTTGCTCGCCTCCGTGACTTAGGTTCACAGGTGCCCACTGGGTAACGTTAAATGAGTAATACTTCCGGCATCTTCCCGGGCAAAGAACGTAAAAATTCAGTGCAAAAAAAAAAAGAACTTTGAGTCCAAAGTAATCTTTAAAGGGCTAAATTAAAAAAGAATCAACTGACATTCTAAGATTGAATTTAAAACATGCTATATTCCGTATAATACACTGGGAAAAAAAATTATGGTAGAAAACTACCAAAATATGGTAAAATTTTACCGTGCTTTTGACTCTATGGGAATACCAATAAGCTTGATTATTTTTACCAAAGCGCTTTAGTAATGATTTTCGTAAAATTAATGTGTGATAAAATTTGGTGATTGTTTTATAATTTAGTAATTTAATCATGATACCTTAGAGCAGCGGTTCCCAATTTTTTCCTATTATGGAACCCTAAATTATTAACCTTCTTTTGTTGGAACCCCGACTTTTTGAATGAAGTTTTTCAAAAATCATGATCAGATAAATAAAATTAAGACTACTGATTAGTTCGAAATTATTTTTCGTGAAGAACGAAACTTTTTCACCATTTTATGAATGTTTGTTTTAAAATTAGGTTATATGGTCGACAATTTAATTCATTGGTCTATAGCGGCATGTTTCTGTTTTCTGTTTTATATTTTTTGTAATTTTAAGTTTGGAAAACCAGAATTTCCGCTAAAATCTTTACCAAATAAATGGTTTAAGTACCGTATATTTTTTTTATTACCAGAATTATAGTTTTTTTTTTACCTGAAATATAATCATACTGTATGGTGACTTTACCAGTTTTTTTTCTCCATGTATAGGGTAAAATTAGGAAATTTTGCTATTGATCAGTTGCATGTTCTGGCTTTTTAAAAGTGCTCTCTTTTTTAAAAATTGAAAATTTTAGACAACTGCAAAAATTTTTGATAATTATTGGAAAAAGAACGTAAAGCATTTTTTGAAGCCATTCTTAAAATAAAATAAACAATACAAGTCTCATTTTTAAAACGAAGAAAAATTTTAAGAAGCAAGCATGAAATAAAATTAATATAAAAATATTAAAAAATATTCATAATGATTTTGCTTTTATAAAAAAAGGATTATAAAATGCTCATGGGTTGCATTTTCTCAAAAAAATGCAATTGGCACATATTTTTTTACACGCCATTTGTTTGATTTAGTCGCCAGTGATGACCGTTCATTATATTTTATACTGTATTAAACTCAAGTTTAAATGACAGTTCATTAAGTAAAATTGTTTTCAATGTGCTTTATGAAAAAGTTGTTCTATTCTTACCCTAAATTTTCTAGAATTGTAAACGCTTTTCTTTCACTAAGCTTTTAAATTATCTTCAGATTTACAGACATTTAAAATTAATTTGATAAGTTGTCTCAAAACTTAAATAAAACTTAATGTTTCGTTTTAAAAACAATCGTAAAAATAAAAATACCTTGAAAATCTTTTGAAATCTTCTGAAATGTATTTTGAATTAAGCTGTTAGTTTTACTAAAACGAGTTCGTTGGATTTTAATTTAATTATATTTTTTTCCAAATGTCTCCGACTTAATAATATTAGGTTTAAATTTATTTCCGTTATAACTGATTTATCGCATTTTTTTTTTAAAAAAATCGTTTCATTTTTAAATAGAGATTTCTTGCTCTTTCCAATTATTTTTTCATTTAGTCATTGAAATGGTATTAATATTTTAAAAAAAATCAGCTAAATTTGATAGTTCAAAAATTTATTAAACTTTTTTCACAGTGGGAATTAATCAAAATATTTATTTAAATTGAGTTTAATTTATTTAATGCTATTTAAATATTTATTCCACAATGAAATGAAAAGTATAAATACTATGAAATTAATCCTTTTAATCCTATGAAAATAAAATAATACTATGAAAAATTAAACTATCCTTCTTTTAAATCATATAATAAATAATAATTTTAAATTATGAGTTTATAGTCATTTAACTTTATTTATTTATTTGAAGGTAGAGATTCTAGCATTTTTTTGAAAAATGTATTTTAGCATGCGTTAAATTTTGAAATAAAATTCAATAAATTCCAAATAGATGAGATTGTTTTTCGTACAAAGAGTCAATACAATGGAATAGTTATTAAGACCTGAACTTCTCAAGGGGCCGAATTAAATTAAATGGCTCACAATGATTTATAGCTTAAAATATTCAGAAAACAATTTAGATTATAAAAAAAAATTCTGGTGAAATTATCCTATTATACGGTAATGACATTCCTGATTTTAAAAAAACAACAACATAATGCTGGTTAATAAATCCAAAATATAAGGTATTTAAACCATTCATTTGGTAATATTTCCGTTCTTGTGGTAACGGTTTAATGAAAATTTTGGTTTTCAAAATTATTGTTCTTATGGTTGACACATTTAGTAAAACATACATAAATTAAAAGTAAATTTAGTCGAATAAATGGTTTTTATGCCGTCGTTCAGTCGAATTAATGGTTCTGTGAGGTATCATGATAAAAATACCACATTTACCAAATTTTATCTCACGTTCGAGAATTATATTTTATTGCTAATTTTGTCAAACGCAGCTGTGAATTTTACCGAGTTTTTTGGTGTGCGTATAGAAACGGCCAATAGAAATATTTCTTAGAATTTTACCATATTCTGATAGTTTTGACTTGCTTTTTGTCTCAGTATATTAAGACCCATTTTAGAAAAGAAATTAAGAGATATTTTATTTAAAAAATTCGTAACCCTTTAAATAAATAAAAAAAAATTAAACATTTTTCACGATCTTTGCGATTTTTTAAGCGATTAACAGAGTCATACTTGCATTCTTTTCATTTCAATTCGAATCTAGGAATTCTAATCCGTAATTAAATTATTTTCTTTTTCTTTTAAGCTGCCATTTATTCATATTTATATCCTGTTTCTTAGCTATTTATCTAAACTCGTGAAGAATAATATTTTTAAATGGATTCCAAGGCAGTTATTTACAGATTCAGTGATGATAATATGTATGATGCACTTTCGTTTTTTTTTTCATTTGTTTGTGACGTACAAAATTTTTTTGTTATGTCGCTTAACAGGCAAAAATTTTCAACCCCATGCTTAGTTCGATAATAACAGCAATTGCGTTGTTTTCTAGAGCGCATTGTAATGAAAAACAACACAAAAAGCATGTTTTAAAATTTGTGCAACGCTGACTGAAATTACCAGGTTAGGGTATAATTGTCTACTTTACGTCTTCTGATGCACCCTTCTTAAAAATATTAACGTCTACCATTTCAAAAAATTTTTGTCTTTTATTTTATCTGAAAAAAAATACACGTTGTTATTTCTTTTATTAAAATTCTTACAAACGTTCAAGTTTATGTTATCATTTCTTTTTTAAATAATTTACATTTGTGATACATTTTTAATCTGTGTGGATTATTATTATTTTTTTATCTCTAGTGTGAAATTCACCTATTCAAAAATAGTTTGCATCGTATTTTTATCTTTCAATTTTCATATTTTTTGTACTTATCCATATTTGTATCTTTTTTTTAAACCTTATAATATTTTTGGAGCTTTTACGTTTCAGGAGACCGTGAAAACCTATTACCAAAACACGTATATTCTAGTATATTAAGTACCGATTACACCATTACTATTATTTTTTTAATTCTTATAAACAGTTAACAATTTTAGGTTAGATCATTTTTTTAAAAAAATTTATATTTTTAATATATTTTTTAACTGTAGATTATTTTTTTTTGTTTCTAGTATATTAAATTCGGCTGTAAAATATAGTTAGCATTTTTTTTAATCTTTCAAAATTGGTATTTTAGATACTTTTACATGTCGAGGGGCAGTGAAAATCTATTTCCAAAGCACTTATTCAGTTTTTATAATTGTACATTGTATACTTATTACGCCTTTACCAGTTTTACCTTTTACCGCAATTAAGCATCATTGACGTCAAAAATAATTTGGCGATTTCTTAAGGCCTCTTAAATAGTTAATTGCAAAATTTTTAAACATAATATGATATTATTTAGATATTACTTACAATACCAATTGATTATTGGTTCGTGTTCATTTATTTTTTTAATATTTTATGAACCGTAGAGATATTTTTAAGTCGATTTTTTTTTAAAAATAAAGTATAAAATAATGAAGTATATATTTTACATGTTGTTTTGTTTTTGCAATATTTCATGTTAAAATAAATAAAAATTGCTTTCTTCTTAATCGAACTGAGCTGGAAACTTTTTACAGCCGAGTTAACAATAAGACAATGAGCTATAAGTCCATATTTAAAGTTTTTTTAAAAATTTAAAAAAAACTAATTTTTTTAATGTATACAAGGTATTTTGTTATACAGGGCCTTAACATTAAAACAATTAAAGATAATAATGGCAAGAAATTAGTTTTTAAAATTTTAAAGGAAAACCATCAGCGTACTCTACCATCATTTCACCTAGGAATGTAATATAATAGTTTAAATATACACTAATTATTCACCAAATTTAAGGAGATCCGAAAAACATGCTCTTCTTCATCAACGATCTGCAGATTGGTGTAAGCTTTATCTATTATTGGTGTAAAGAATTAACTCAAGTTAAAATAGAATCGTATTGAAGTGTATTGAGAGTTAATATTGAATCGTATTGAATCTTTTGAAGT